CATAGTTGACTTTATCGAAAGTGCTCAGAAGACGACAGTAGATACAATCACGCTGGGGGATAGTTATGGCTGGCGATGTATATTTACCCAGTCGTATTTTTACTCCCTCTGGAAAAGAACATACAATTATTATCGTTTACTTTTGTTTTGTATGCGGATTATAACGTGAGCTATTTTTACATCTTGACTTAAATTTTACACATTCAGCTTCGCAGCCCGCTGGTATTTCTACACCATGTCGCAAGGCGTAGAAATTGTTTTTGCTTAAATTGCACTGTGGCGTAAAATTATCATCGTAAATTACATGCTTAATTCTTCCTAACGCCCCTTTACACCCTTTACCTAGGGGTGTAAAATGAATTGATTTGGGGTGAAGATTTGTGTACCGTACTTTTATTCCGCAACGGGTGTAGTTTTAAGCTTACAAGGATATATTACTTACTACCGGGTGGCAGAATTAATCTCCAATTGTCCATGCAAACATCTTTTACTCTGGCATAAAATGAAGTTAAAAGGGGTGGAGATTTGTATACCGTAATAATATTCCAATTTCAGGTGTAGTTTTTCTTTCAGTGTATGTATATGCTAACGCCATAAGAACATCATCAAACGTCTCCCTTCAATACTGCCTCTTCTGTTCTGGCCTTCGCGAATTCTAGATTTCCGATCTCGCCGGCCATCCTCTTGGTCCCCGGTCGTGGTCCTCGGTCCCCGGTCGTGGTCCCAAAGTCTCCGGTCTTTGGTCCCCGGTCGTGGTCCCGTGGTCTCCAGTCCCTGCAGCCGGCACCAGTTCTGTTTTTGTAGACGGTATCGCGTTTCATCCGCTTACCGGCCGAGCACTGGAGCGCATAATCCCCTAAGGGGCGCCATGGGGCCGGGCGGGCGCCGGGCGTCGGTACTCGTGGCACCTACCCTGAGTCCCTGACTTACGTTTACAGCACGCCAATTGTGCCGTACTCTCTTCCTCAACTGCATCTTGTTTAATTACACCGTATCGAAAACACACCAACCACACTTCACACCGCAACATGGGGATACCATGCCGAATCGTACTGTGCTATGGCACTTCAGTCCAGCTGCACCGTCCCGCACCATCAACATGCGGTCCCGCACCCTCAACACACGGTCCCGCACCCTCAACACACCGGTCCCACACCCTCAACACACCGGTCCCTTACCGTCACCACACCGGTCCCGCACGCCCGGTTCGCCGCTGAGATGATTAGCGACCAAACTGATGTAGCTGTCGGCCAGCGGGGGTCAGAAATAATGAGTCGCCGCCGCCACATCCCATTATCATTAATAAATGGCGCATGGTCCCTGTGGGACGGCACGAGCCGCGCGCGGGGAACCGAGGGATCATCACCTGGGATCGTCCCCGCGAGGGATCACGGCGCGGCCACGAGGACATTATCTGGGCCAGGTGAGGAGGAGGCGACGGGCTACGCGAGGACGCGCGGCGGCACCCGGTAAATAGGGGAGGCGCAGTGGTTTGTTTGGTGGTTGATTGGGCATTTTCAAAGGAAGATACGGTAACGGCTGCTCTTGTGAATGCTGAAATGTGTGACTTCAAGATTCACTAATTGATAACTAGTAACGGTGATTTCTGCTCGCGTTATTCAAAAGGCCTCAAATCTCGGCAACGGCTAAATCCATATATCCAGGTGATTCGTACTGGTGCAAATTCGAGTGAGACACGAAAACAAGATTGCGATTTATTAGCAAGCCCAGCCATTAATCAGTATCGCTGCATGAAAGAGGCGATAATGGCACAATGATGGAGGCGTACTGAACGACGATCTTCATTACGTGATGCTGCTTGTCTCGGGTTCGTTGGGTCCATTGACGGTTTCAGGTCCTCCCCCGACATACCAGAGCCGGATGAATAGTGACGTAGTGTGACATCAATGAGTGATAAGTGATAACAAGTTCCTGCTGAGAACTAGTCTGGGACGAACGTTGATTGGACGGCGTAGTTTGCGCCCTGTGAGAAGATAGGAAAGGGAAGGAGAGCAGCAGTAAGATGAAGGAAGGGAAGACTGAAGAGTGATAAGGAAAAGGATACGATGAAGAAATTACGATTGATGTTGTATGTGGTTTTGTTATCAACTGTGTAAATACATGTATGAGAGTTAAAAAGTGTTATTTTCATTTCAGCAAACGATGCAATGCAACAGCCGCTTGATCAAAACACCTTCAGTTCAGCGTCGATTAGTGCAATGGTGCAGTTAACTGAAAACCACGGGAAATAAATCACAAGGCACTTTCTAGTCACATATAATTTTAGGCACAGATAAAGATAATTTCTGTACATGTGCAATGTCCATATCTACCTCATCTTAGCACAATGCTTTACACTTACGCACTTGTTTTCACTGCCGGGGTCTCCGCGCACCGCCATCTGCTCCACTCAATGACGACATAGCCAGAAGCCTAAATCAACTCATCACTCTTGGCTGCAGACTCGGCTCTCACCCACCAATCTCGCTCCAAATGACACACCAGGCCCGGTGTCTCCCATCATCGCCGGGCTGCCACTGAAGAGCTGGTGATTTCGCGCCATTTCCATCACACATGCCACCAACCCTGACGTGTTGGCGCGCTCCCGCCCGTCCCGCTTTTGTCTCCGCACCGCCACACATGTCCCTCTACGGCGATGCAGCGCGCCATCCGTCGCCGCGCGCTAACAAGCCGCGCCGCGTTGGCCGCCATCCGTCAGGTGCTCTCCGTTTTGTGGCGCGGTTTTGCGGCGCGCCGGCGCGCCAACCGCGCGCGCTGAATGCGCGGTAACGAGCCGAACAAATGGCGGGCGCGACCGAGCGCGCCACGCCGGCGCGGCCGTCTCGGATGACTTCATCGCGGCGCCGTCGAGACGAACGCGACGCGGCCACAATGCGCCACCAGTGTCGAATACAAAAGAACGGCGGGCACGGGCCGGGCGGGGTTTTACCCGCATTGACGGCGACGAGGGCTCACTGATGGGTGTGTTTTGATGCCGGTAATCAGACAGTGTATCCGCCCCAGTTTTGGAGGGGTGCTCGCGCGCGCATGCCTTCTCGTCGAGGGGACACAATCGGCGAGCGATTCGGGTTTTTGTGCTCGTGCGAGGATGGGGACAGGGTGGCTGGGGTCGCGGGATGGATGGCACCTCTGCCAGCGATGCTATCGGTGGCTACTTTGTCATTGAAACCGGCCCGGGCTGGGACTGGAATGGAGACACAGCGTCAGTCCCGTGTGCTGCGTCAAAGGCGACACGGGATTTGGTTACGGAGTGTAACGTCAGATCCTGTGACGAGCGTCGAGTTGCGGTTTGAATAGCGGTCGACTGTGGGCTGGAGGGCCACGAGAAACGGAGTCAGAATTGGAGAATTGGAGAGCGCGTCAGACAGATTGGTGACATGTAGAAGCAAAATGAAGATCATTGAAAAAAAGAAATATGTTTAGATTCATTGACGATGAATTTGGTTGGCTAAATCTAGACAAGTTTACAACAATTTGAGAGATGTTCGTAAGGGAAAAAATTATAATTTTAAGGAGCACTGTACTAAGGAGCAGATACAAAAATCGGCTGACAGGTAGTCTGAGGAAACATAAAAGCTAAACCTTATAATTCACATTTGTCTTCATTTTATTACTCCGCATGTTGCTCAGCACAAAACGGGATGCGTTTTAAAATTTTGACACATGGTAGCATTTTCACTTTGAACCCTCTTATCCTGCACAATACTTAGATTTTAGACAATGAGTTATCAGCCAATTAATCACTCATTTGGTCACTTCTTTCGAGACAAGACAAATCAAAAGATATTAAGTTGATTTAATTTTTACTCCCCAAACATTCCATTTATCTGAAAATACCGCACCTGGGAACGTATGCTTGTGTGGCAAGGCATGTGTGGCATTCCGTTTTGCTGGAAGAACAATGTCTCACCGTTCATAACCAGCCGTGCAGCATTGCAAGACCCTCCAGTCAATGTGATATAAAAATCAGTGTATGGCCCAGGCTAAAGGCTGTAATCACCACCTAGAAGCCCCGTCCTCCGCTGCAGACAATAGCGATAATCCGTAACAACAAGGCAGAACAAATGGGGTCTTGACCCGGCTGACACCTCTGGCATTCCAAGTGCACGAAGATGGCAGTGTAGTGTCGGGCGGGTGACGACGAAGTACTGGGCGATGGCGCATTGTCAGACATCGGCAGTCGGCGCCTCCGTCAAACACAATGCCGCGATGGCCTCATTCAGCCCGCGATGTGAATGGCTCTCCGTACCGTTTTGTTGTTATGAAATATTCACAGTGAAAGGAGAGAAAGAGTGAGGGCTATGAACAGTCGTAAATCCTTGATGCGCCCAATAGCTCTTTTATTTAATCGTGTTTTTAAGGATTGGGATTATTTTAACACTTTCTTTTGTTGTATTTAAGGTCATGCCACGAACAATGTGCGCCAAACATCCCAGCATATTATTGGCCATTTAATTGATTACAGGCCCGACACTAACTTTTTAATTGTAACCGATATGTTCTACGGTATGTGTAATACTACGATGGTCATCAATTTCTTGACCTCTAGAATGTCTTTTTTATTGTTTTCAAGCTACTGTAATTTGGTGAATCGCCATTTCCGCTGAGTGCGAGGCGTTCTGAGTAACAACGGACCTCTCTTTCCGCGGAACATCGGTCAGTCGATTCAGCGGCACCTGTACGGATATGATCCACAGCTGACCGATCACTAACGCTCCATTCGGCGAATAGCGCGCACCATAACAAACAGCCTCCACTTGACGTGGAGTGGAATCGCGCACACATCACCTCCCCGCCCCTGAAATCATATCACCTCCCCTCCCTCATGAGATCACATCACATCCGCTCGTCCGGCCGGCTGAAGCGCATTCACAGACCGGAACTCCACTTGGTCACGTCACTATCCTGTGACGTCACGTGCGTCTGTTTTGTCTCGCGATGCTCTTCGATGGGCGTATGTCACCAGGGGACAAAGTTCAGGTAGTGGCTCAGAGGCGATAGGGCGGATATGACGGTAGTAGGTCCGTGGATAAAATGGCTCGACGGGGGCGGAACGGCATCAGAACTTCGGTGTGTGGTGTGAAGACACGACCGAGCAGCCTCCAGACAGCCATCATGAGAACAGTGGTGAGTAGAAGTATCGGTCTCTGTATGCGCTACCTGAAATGGTAGGTATTTCAGTGATAGGATAGGAGAGACTTTTCCAATGAGGAAGGCAGTCTAGCACTCCAGCAAAGTAGGCATGTTGCAATTTACATAATATGATAATTTCAAATAAATCAAAGGTGAATAATTCAATTTCATTTGCCTCAATTAAAGCCTTCTTGAGTCAATTGTTTAATTGTCAATAAGCTTTCGATTCAATACCCTTTTGATTGTCGCAAGGGCACTCCGTACAACTTCGTCAAAGCCCTCTTGACTGCCAATAGCAAGGCGCATATCAAATGGAAAGATAATAAAAAGACACGGTATTGTGTGATGTTAGACTTTATTTGTAGCGCGCAACAACGCTGCTTGCACGCTGCATTATGTCTTACCTCAAAACCTTTGTGTTTGCAGACATGTCTCGCCCTTTTCGTCGCGGCTACTGCCGGAGCCGTCCGACGACCTGTTGGTCTGAGCCAGGACGGCACCTACTGGCCTGAAAGGGCTCAGGGCGAAAGACGCCCTCTTGGTCTGAGCCAGGACGGCACCTATTGGCCTGAGAAGGCCCAGGGTGAGAGGCGTCTTCTTGGTCTGAGCCAGGACGGCACCTACTGGCCTGAGAAGGCCCAGGGTGAGAGGCGTCTTCTTGGTCTGAGTCAGGACGGCACATACTGGCCTGAGAGGGCCCAGGGTGGAAGACGTCCTCTTGGTCTGAGCCAGGACGGCACCTACTGGCCCGAGAAGGCCCAGGGTGAGAGGCGTCTTATTGGTCTGAGTCAGGACGGCACCTACTGGCCCGAGAAGGCCCAGGGTGAGAGGCGTCTGCGTGGTCTGAGGCAGGATGGCACCTACTGGCCTCGGAAGGTTCATCGTAAAAATCATAGCTTTGAATCTGCCTCTAGCGAAGAGGAATCCTCCGACACTCCGGTCGTCGTTTCGGACAACTCCAGCGGTCAGGCGGGAGAGTTCGACACCTTCCGCGCTCGTCACCAGCGTCGGCACCAGCGTCGTCACCAGGGTGACGCCACCCGTCACCAGCACCGGCGTCACCACCACCGTCAGGAGGAGCGGGATGGCGCGCAGGACTCGGCGGAGTCGAGCGGTACGCCCGGCGGTGAGGAGGCCCGCGAGTGAGCGTTGGTCGTAGGACGAGTGCCAGGGTGACCCAGCGTGCGTCTCGATACGGAAGCGCGCCGTAGTATTAGGTTGACCTAATGCAGATATAATGACGTCACAGGACGGCTCTTTATTTTGATAGATTATTTTGATGGGCGGTAGTTTTGTATGCTTGGAAAATAGTTGAATGTGATTTTTTGGATTCCGTTTTATTATATTGGCAATTTATTACATTGGCATAGAACATACTAATTGATGTCTTGACAGAAAAAATGAACGCTTTGGATACCTTTTCTTCGCCATTTTATGTGCTGTGACTTTCATAGATTATATGCTGTAAGTTGTCATATATATTTTTGCTTGAGCTGTGTTACCAAAGGGTATTTTGTTGTTATTGAAAATAAATGAATACACCCATTCGTATGTTTTCACGTTCAACGTAATGTGTCTACATGCATGTGGGGATCATGATGACACGCAGAACACATTACCTACGGTAGAAACCAGGACATAGTTATCTCTTCTCGCAGAAGATATTTACCAAAGCAAAGGTGCTCTTACATCGAAAACGAACAAACTCTGCAATTCAACACCACTTTTTAGCCCCAATAACTATAATTAAAACACCTGCACTGGCAGTCTCTCATATGACCAATGAATGAGTTCCGCGACACTGTGAGATACTGTTGTAAATCGCGCCAGAGTTTCGACTCGAACGCCGCACTACCGTATGTAATTGGGACGGATACAAATGTCTGTCGTGCACGAACCAGGCTCAGGATGATGACTGGCCGGGATACGCTGATAATGCTGGACCGGGCCATGCAAACCGTAAATTATGCACCTAATCTGCATCTATGTGTGCTGATTGGGCGTGCTTGTATATCTAATTACGTTCTGCGCTTTTCAATCACATGCTAATTAATATATAATCTATCTCATTAGGGACAATCTAAAGAGACCGACGCAATGCTAGAGACAAAGGATATTTATGGCACATTATTTGAAGGTAATGTTAATGCATACGAATTTATCTTTCATTGAAAAGCGGAACTGATGCTTACTTATGTTAGGCAGGCTGGCAACAATGCGGGCAGACTGGCAAGCAGGCTGACAAGCTGGCATGTTGTTTTCTTTTCCAGCAGCCTGCAGCATCCTGCATATTTTCACATTAGGTTTAGGTTTAGGCTTAGGTTTAATATGATGGGCTGATGTAGACTGTGTGTCTATTCGGTGCCCACATCAGGTATAAGGTATACACTATACTGGATTGGTTTTGAGCTAGGTTACAGTCGTTTGAGCCATGAATGGGTTAAGCCGGTTCTTGAAAGTGTTTGTGCTGTTTGCCATTATAACATCTTCTGGTAGTTTGTTCCAGTCATGGACTATACGATTTGAAAAGAACTCTGCCCTTGAAACAGTTGTCGATCTCTTGACTTTCAGCTTCTTGCTATGGCCTCTTGTTTGGCAGTCACTGTTCATGACGAAGAATCGCATTGGGTTTATGTTTATGTGTCCTGATAGTATCTTGTAGGTCTCTATCAAGCCTCCTCGCCTCACTCTTTCTTCCACACTTGGCAACTCCAGTCTTCTCAGTCTCTCCTGGTAGGTCAAGTTCTTCAGTCTTTGCACTAGCTTTGTAGCTCTTCGCTGTACAGTCGTGTACAGGTTGATGGTCCCCTACTCTTTATCCACCGGGTTCCTATGGCTCAGCATTGGCAGCAGCCGCCTGGTACCGGTAGGCTGTGCCGCATGACCCGAGAGTGAAGCGGCACAGTCTACCCACGCCGTTTGACATCGGCTCGGGTCGCCGGGTGGAGCGCTTTGTAGACCAGCTGTTGCGTCAGACCAGCGCGGGGGGAGGGGCTCGTCTCGGTGGTTGGCGTGGGCTGGCGAGTGGTGTGGGGCGTGTTGGTGGACCATGGGGGTTGGGCGGGTGTGTGTGGTCACTTGCTGCATTGCACATTTTGCGTCGCTTAACAATTGCATTCCTGTTTTTGCTAGGCACAATGCACGGAAGATCCAGCGAATATAATTTACTTTATTTGTGCATTGTGCAAAACGCGATTTGGCACGGTATCGAGGCAACCATAGGTCTTGTGCCTAAGCATGATATTTAGGCAATACGTTTATGAAAACGGTAGATTGATGCTGGATGTCAATTCGTATTGCTAAATGTCGGCACGTATTAAATGAATGAATGAATCAATCAATTCATCAAATAATCAATAGACATGTATAAAACCGTTTAAAATGGCTCGCAACCACTAATAGCAATCACACCATCCTAACTCGGAAAAGCAGCCGGAGCCCTGATGAGGCTCGAACCGGGACTCCACGCTGTAAATTTTGCCAATGATCCATCATCATTCCACCAAGCTAGAGTATCCGGCACCCGAACTAGAGGTGGCAAAAGATGAAAATTTTGGGAACCAGACTCGAACCAGACCCGGCTGGACATTTCTGGAACCAGTCGGACCCGGCCTTAGTTGGAATCGGAACCAGTTGGACCCGGTTCCCCAAAAGTCGATTAATACAAACTACTTGTAGGTATCATTGATACCTACAAGTAGTTTGTATTAATCGACTTTTGGGGAACCGGGTATCATTAGTTGCATCATGTAAAGCAGCCTATTTCCCACTGGGAATACTCATGAGCTACTGTGTGCCAAGAAACATTCACTTCATTCACCTCATATTTTGCAATAATGTGTAGTTTGCAAGATGGATAGATATGCAAGATATAGATTTGCAATAGATTAGATTAGATAGATTAGATGCAATAGATTTGCAAGATAGTTTATGGTAGGATCCGGTTGGACTCGTCAGAAAATTTCCAGGAACCAATCTGGACCCATATGGGTCCAGACTGGTTCTTTGGACCGGGTCCTTGGGTCCACATTTTGCCACCTCTAACCCGAACCCACAAAAACATTAATTGACTTTGCTGCCGACCTCCCGGCCCCGCCGCCCGCCCGGCCAGACTTTGCCCCGGCCATAGCCACCATCCGGTGTAGCTCAGCGTAGGAGTGCTCGACTGTCAAACTGACCGGTAGTGAGGGACCCGGTTCGAAACGCTTCGGATGCTGGGTGTTTATTTCTCGGTGGGAGGCTTTACGTTTAGTCCACTTTTCAGAAAGATCATTTGGTGACTGACTTGTTTTCTTTCTTTGCTGCAATTCATCATTCATGAGGAGACCGTATGCACCCTTACCTGTCCTTCCGCACCCCACTTGGGAGATGGGTGGTTGCCCCCCCCCCCCATGGGTTTGTGAATATCTCTAAAACGAATTTTTGGAGGGGGGATACGATCGGTTCTATGCGACAAGTGACCACACACGCCCAGCCCCAGGTCCGCTCACTCCCTACCCATATCACCCCCTCCCCACACCACACTCCAGCCCGCCTCATCCACCGAGCCGAGCCATAACGAGCCTCAGCGCCCCGAGGCGCGACCTGTCAGCGAACACTGTATATATAATAACAGTGACAATATATCAAATCCGTGAACTCCTCTATAAATGTCGTCTCGCAGATCCGGCAGTTTGGGCTTCAACGACTGAATGTTGAGGTGTCCAATTATCAGGTCTGGTCCAGTGTCGCCGTGGCGGCGCCAGCTCGCGCCACCTCGATGTCCCCGACGCCTGGACGCGCCCCTGCCCCCGCGGCGCACGCAACCGCCGGCCCGCGTCCCCGCCGGTTCGCTGACAGGTCGCGCCCCGGGGCGCTGAGGCTCGTTATGGCCTCAGGCTCGGTGGATGAGGCGGGCTGGAGTGTGGTGTGGGGAGGGGGTGATATGGGTAGGGAGTGAGCGGACCTGGGGCTGGGCGTGTGTGGTCACTTGTCGCATAGAACCGATCGTATCCTCCCTCCAAAAATTCGTTTTAGATATATTCACAAACCCATGGGGGGGGGCAACCACCCATCTCCCAAGTGGGGTGCGGAAGGACAGGTAAGGGTGCATACGGTCTCCTCATGAATTGCAGCAAAGTAAGAAAACAGGTCAGTCACCAAATGATCTTTCTGAAAAGTGGACTAAACGTAAAGCCTCCCACCGAGAATTGAACACCCAGCATCCGAAGCGTTTCGAACCGGGCCCCTCACTACCGGTCAGTTTGACAGTCGAGCACTCCCACGCTGAGCTACACCGGATGGTGACTATGGCCGGGGCAAAGTCTGGCCGGGCGGGCGGCGGGGCCGGGAGGTCGGCGGCAAAGTCAATTAATGTTTTTGTGGGTTCGGGTGCCGGTTACTCTACCTTGGTGGAATGATGATGGATCATTGGCAAAATTTACAGCGTGGAGTCCCGGTTCGAGCCTCATCAGGGCTCCGGCTGCTTTTCCGAGTTAGGATGGTGTGATTGCTATTAGTGGTTGCGAGCCATTTAAACGGTTTTATACATGTCTATTGATTGTTTGATTGATTGATTGATTCATTCATTCATTTAATACGTGCCGACATTTAGCAATACGAATTGACATCCAGCATCAATCTACCGTTTTCATAAACGTATTGCCTAAATATCATGCATAGGCATAAGACCTATGGTTGCCTCGATACCGTGCCAAATCCCGTTTTGCACAATGCACAAGTAAAGTAAATTATATTCGCTGGATCTTCCGTGCATTGTGCCTAGCAAAAACAGGAATGCAATTGTTAAGCGACGCAAAATGTGCAATGCAGCAAGTGACCACACACACCCGTCCAGCCCCCATGGTCCACCAACACGCCCCACACCACTCGCCAGCCCACGCCAACCACCGAGACGAGCCCCTCCCCCCGCGCTGGTCTGACGCAACAGCTGGTCTACAAAGCGCTCCACCCGGCGACCCGAGCCGATGTCAAACGGCGTGGGTAGACTGTGCCGCTTCACTCTCGGGTCATGCGGCACAGCCTACCGGTACCAGGCGGCTGCTGCCAATGCTGAACCATAGGAACCCGGTGGATAAAGAGTAGGGGACCATCAACCTGTACACGACTGTACCTTCTCTAGTGCTCTGAAATATTGTACATACCATGTGCGGACCGACTGCCTGAATACAATGCTCTAGGTGAGGACGTATATGTATGGTGTACAAAGTTTTGAAGTTAGCTGTAGTCAGGGTGTCAAATGCCATTTTAAGAAGTTTCAATGCTGACATGGCTTTATTACCCGCTTTCAGGCAGTGGGAGGTAGGTTTCAACGAGCTAGTCACCCAAACACCTAGATCCTTCTCCATTTCTGTTTTTCTGTTTCTGCAAGCTCCAATGTCTCTCCGTTTGGGTGTTTCAAATAATATCTTTCTTTGGGGTTTCGGGTGCCACTATGCATTATTTTACATTTTGTTGCATTGAACTGCAAAAGCCACTTCTTTGACCAGAGGGCTAGTGTGTCCAGGTCAGCTTGGAGCATTTCTGCATCCTTCTTACTTGACACC